GCATGGGTGTTTTGTCTGTATGTTGTGTACCATATGTGTGCCTGTTACCTGAAGAGGACAGAAGAGGGTATTGGATCCCCTAAACCAGGAGTAACGGATGGCTGGAGGCTACTATATGGATCCTGGGAACCAAATTGGGTACTCTTCAAGAGTTCAGTGTGCTCTGATCTGCTGAGATTTCTTTCTGGCCCCTCTTCTTTCTCTTTAATGCCACCAAGGGAAGTCTCAAATAGTAAGCGGGCCCTTGAGGACCTCACTCATGTGGCCTGTTTTCCTTCTGATAGGTAGTATCACTTGGCTTTTGAATAAAGTTTCCTTGCTGCTTTGTAGATCAGTATAACCCTTTATTTTAATTCCTCAAATAAGAGGCCAATAACCTGGAAACACCTAGACTACACATTGATAATCAGTTAACCATGCAACTGAGGAAATGAAATTTTGACTTACTTTTAAAGTAAATTTATTACTCTATTTTGAGACAGGATCTCATGTATCCTAGGCTAGCTTCAAGTATGTAGTTGAGGATGGCCTAGAACTTTTGCTCCTCCCAAGTGCAGGGATCAAACCCAGGGCCATGTGTGTTCCAGGCAAGCCCTCTACCAGCTGAGCTATATCCCCGGCCCTAATTTCATTTAAATAACTACACACAATTAATGTATATCACTACTGGGCAGCACATACATGCAGTCCTGAGACTCAGAACCTGAAATACCAAATAGTCTTTCTGGACCCATCTCTAGGCATACTAGAGCTCCCTGAGCAGAGGGTGTTTGGCTTTTTGAGATATGGTTTCATGTAGCCAATCCTACTGTCTCTACTTTCCAAGGGCTGGAGTTACAGGCGTGCACCATTACGCCCAGCTGTTTCTAACCCTGGGACTCTTCACCTTATCTAGTTTTCCGTCTATCTCTTCTTCCTGTTGCTAGATTCTAGTTCACTTGCATTACTGAACACTGTTTATGCATTAGACCAAAGCGTCTCACACATGAGTTGGCCACAAAAGTCAATTTATTGGCTTTATCGGCATTTTAGAAGTGATTACGTACCACACTGAAAACTGTTTGTTGTAACTTGCTGTGACCTGTGTATGTGAGTCCGGGGAATGTGTATATGTAGATGCCATAAAATAAAAAGTATCTTTTACCATGGGCCAAAGTGAAAACACAAAAATGCTGAGCATACTATTCAATCCAGATCAGTCACTCTGACCAAACTTGGGCAGAGTGGACGGACAAGCCTTCACAGTACAGTATGAATCTTTGGATACGTCACTTAAACAGGAAAACAGGTGTGAGGCGTATCTGGACTGGCAAATGGAGCGCTCAGCTGGGGTGCTTCAGACCCACAGCTCCGCGTGAAACACTTCAAAAACGTTTCTTCTGTATACACTGCTGCTGCTTGTCCTTCTGATCTATTGTCAAGGGTGGCATGCATTTCCTGGTCTATAGGAGGATATAAAATAGTGAACTTTGCTCCTTTTTGTTGTTGCTGCTTCAGAAGATTTCCTTTTATTTAAGTTCAAAACTTCTTTACTACGTCTGTAGGAACTTCAAAGACTCCAGAACAGGATAAGGCAATGGTATGTATGGCTGCTAACTATTTATCAGCTCTAGTGTTTATTGTCTCAGAGCTAGTTAACAAAGATTTCCCCTTTCAGATCTTGGCACCCCTATAAGGATGGAAGCTGAGGAAGGGCTGGGATGGGAGGCTTGCTGATCTGGTGCTGTTGATAATAGTATGCATGCATGCATGCATGTGTTTTCAAGCTCCAGGCCAGCCTGAGCTATGGAGTGAGTTCCAAGACAACCAGGGCCAGAGTGTGAAATCTTGTCTTTTTAAAAAACAAAACAAAACAAAACTGAAAAGAAAAAAATTGACCTAGAGACTCCCTAGGCCCCAGAAGCATTTCGGGTGGCTTGGGCTGTTTCCTGTCAAGCTGCTGGAATCAAACTAAATCTGAGCAGACGTGGGCCTATGCTCCTTCACTGAAGCGCTTCATCCAAACGCATGGTCGGGGGAGTGGGCAGCAACCTGGCTGAATGGCAGTTCCTCTTCTTAGTTCCTCTTTTGCTCACAGCAAACATTTCTGAGACAGTGGCATCAGACCAGCCATGGAATACCATTATTACACATGTTGCCTTGGGGAATGAGCAGACAGTCATGAACCATGGGGCAGAAGACATACTGTTCTCCTAAGCCCACCCTGTCCCTGGTGATGAGAGTCAAACTCAGTGCCTTAAGCATGCCGGACAAGCACCCTACCACTGAACTAAACCCCACCCTTGGTTAAGATTTCACTAGTAGCCCAGGCTGGTCTCAAACTGGAGATGCTCTAGCCTCTGCCTCCTGGGCGTCCTAAACCCTCTCATGCCCAATCTTTGTCTCAGTTGGAAGCGAGATTGTACTGCCTGCCCTGCCTTTACCTGTGAGCTGTGAGATCAAGTGAAGTGAGCTGGGAGAAGGCTCAGAAAACACTATTCCACCCAGCAGGCCAGAGAAAGCGCTTCCATGCAGATGTGATGGGTGTGGTCCTGGTCACTGAGAAGTTACAAGTACATTGAGCCGTAAGCCATGACACTGGGTCACCATGCACTTGGAAAGCAGGAGCTGAAGGGTTCGGGTCTAAAGCCACAGCCACAAAGCAGTAGTTGAGTTCTCTGATAGCACGGAAGTGTACTTCACGCCTCAAGCCCCCAAACTCCGGTCAGTTCCCTTTGCAGAGATGGAACAACACGAGTAAGGCTCCAGTGAGTTACCAAGAGATGCCCAGATGAATATCCTGGGCCACAGAGCACTCCAAAAAGAGAGTCCTGGAACCCTAATCGCCCTTCCTCCCTGAGGGAGCTGACCTGATAGAACAAGCCGAAGGTTCTCTGGATTTCAATAAGTCTCATCTCTGAACCCATCTACAGTTATTTCTCAAACCTTAAAACTCTCAGACCATCAAGCCGCCTGGCAGGGACCAAAGGCTACACTCCCATTAAAGTCCCCATAGCAACCTCCACTTGCTCTGTTTGTAAGAATTTTTGGTCCTTCTCATCAGATTTTTATTTTTTTTCAAATACCATGTCTCAGGTTTTTTATTTTGCTGTAGATCAACAATCTCTTTCTTAAGTGGCAGACAGTTGTCACATTTTCCAAATGAAGACATGGAAACAGGAGAAAGGCAAGTCACTAGCCCAGAGTTTTTTGGTTTTTACCCTCTCATCAATGAGGAGCTTTGCCCGGTGACTCAAGACAAAACAAACCACTGAGGCTCAGAAAGCTGGCAGGGGAGCCAGCTGGACTCCTCCCTCTGGTGAACCGGGTTAGATTAGTAAACGCCTGCAGGTTGCTGTTTCACCATTTGTGAACTCTGGATTAGTGTAGAAACGGAGAGGTGAGCTCTGGAAACGACACTGTATCATCTCAGAGGATGAAATACAACCTCCGAGTGAAAAAACAAGCAAACCTAAGTGAAGCCTTGTCTCTCAGCCCCCGAGGACGCACACCTTCCTACAGAGAAACTCCGCTGGGCAGTGGTCCTGATGAAGTCAGCAACCTGTCCCAAGCCTGAGGGACAGTTATGTATCTGGGCAACGTGCCCCACATAACCAACTCCAGGCTTATTATTATTGGACACATCCACAATTCTGCGGAAAACTGCCAACTTCCTTCACAGCCCAGAGGCTGAGAAGCCTCAGACTCAAAGCTGGATGGCTCCACGGACAAAAGTCATTCAATGTGCTAGAAGCTTTGGGATACTGTAGGGGGAGAAAATGAAGATTTCAGAATCATGATGGGGACAATTTAAAAAACATAATGAGAGCAGCCCACGTCTAAGGAGTAGAGCACAGCGGGACGGCAGACTAATAGCCCCATCTAACGGAAAACTGGTTCCAGCCGAAAGCTGTGGCCTCCAGTCTTTAAAGGTGTGGCCAGCTTGCACCCTGGACTTAATTTTGATATTTTAACGTTAAAGGCCAACAGTAGCTGAATTAACTCTAGGTGATATGAGTACACTTGGCGTCTCCCACCGTTCCTTTGGCAGGGTGGACAGCATTCATTACCTGAGTAAGTCGAGGAAAGAATCCACCGTCTCTTTGGAGACCGGAGGAGACGCCGAGTCCTCCAGCCCCAGGCTGCTGGACTGGAGGGTCTGCGCGCCCGCCCCTGGCTTGATGATGAACGCCAAAGCGACCGCGAGCGCAGAGGCACTCAGCGTGGTGAGGCCAAAGTAAGCGACCGCAATGCCGCCCAGACGCCCGAGGGAGCTGGCGTCCAGGGAGGCGGCGCCCGACACCAGACTGCAAACCACCAGCGGCAGGATGATCATGCGCAGCATGCGGAGTAGCATCTCGCCGGGGAAGGCCAGGTAGGTGACCTGAGTGCGGGTGAGCTGCAGCCCGCGCAGCGCCGCGCCCATGCCGGCGCCCACCAACACCCCCGACACAGTGAGCAGCACCAGCGCGTGGCGCCGGAAAAAGCCAGCGCAGCGCCGCGCTTTGCCAGCCGGCATCTCGGGCGTGCGGGGCCCGGCCGCAGGCTCTGCCTGGGTGCCGTCGAGGTAGCCGTTGGTCTCGCTGCTCTTCTCCATGTCGCTGCCCGCCGCTCCAAGCTGCAGCACGCAAGGAACTTGGACTCAGAGGAAAAAAGCGGCTTCCAATGAATGGATCAGGCGGAGACAGTGGCCTGCGCCAGCTGCGGCTCCGGACCTCTGCGAATCCCTACAGGAACGATTTCCAGAAAGATGAAGAGAGACGTGGGTTGTGGGCTGGAGCCGAGGCAGAGCAGACCGTGCCGCGCCCAGCCTTCTTTCAGAGCGGCTGCTGGCTGGAGATGATGCAACAACGCAGGAGGCTCGCAGGAGGCTGCAGCCCAGGAAGGAGGGAGGGGCCGGAGCCCGCTCCGCCCATGTCGCCCCGCCCCCGGGATTACCACCAATCAGAGCCCTGAAGATCCGTGCCCCGCCTTTCCAAGGCCCCGCCCTTCTCCCACCCTCCCTGGGGCACAGCAAAGGGAGTGAGACCCGCAGGCGGAGCTCTCCCGATACCGCGGGGCGTGCGGCTGTCGGCCAATCCTGTCGCCCGGTCGCTTTCCGTCCTGGCTAACGGGAGCGGCTTCCAGTGCTGGCGGAGGTGCCGCTCGAGAGGCACCCTCCGGGGCCTCTCTGTGCTGTGCACCGTCCAGGCCTCGGGGTGTGTGTGGAACGCCCCTGTGTTCTTCCCCTCTGCCGGTGGGTGGACGAGAGGGGCCCGCCCTCCCGCTTTGTGCCAGGGACGGTCCACCCTCCCTTCTGCGGGAAATCCTTTCTTTCAAGGGTCCTGTGGGCTTCCGTGAGGTGGAACTTGTTTCGGTGCAGAGACAAAGGAGTGGGTGGATGGGTGGATGAGGGAAGTCTCATCGCGTGCCCGCACAGGACTCTAGCAGAGATTTATTTACTCTTAGGTGACCGGGGACTCCGGGTAGGCGCCAGCGTCAAGGCTGCACCACTGAACGCACCAGCGCACTCTGGGCGGGTCCCCGGGTCTCTGGGCAACAGCCTGGTGTATGCTGAAGATGCAAAACTCTCCCAGGAAAGCGGAGCTCTGACGCCACCACTTTCGGTGGCATGCGTGTGTGCCACGTAACCTCAGCAGAAGCACAAGTCACAGGATTTTAACCACCTCTTCTCAGGGCTCCAGACTTGGCACAACAATAGCACAGCCAGGTATTTGACCAGTCTGAAAGATAATTCCATGTGGTTACAGTCAATGGATTTAAAAAAAAATACATTTATTTACTATCATTCATTTTAGTGTCGTCTTTGGCCACAGCAGATAGAAGAAAAACTTTTGCAGTCATTTAGTGTGTCTTATTTATTCTTACATTTTCCTCATTCTGCTTTTGAAAGGAGCTACCGCACTCCCGCCCAGATGCCCGAGAAAGTCTTAACGTGTAGCTAAATTAAATTAAAGGCGAAGACAATGTGCAGAAAAGTAATCTTAAAGCATGCCATAACAGACAGCTGTGTGTGCGCAAATCAAGATGTCCTCGTGAGGAACTTTCAGAGGTTGTCCAGTTTTTGAGAAAGGGAAAAGTCCCTTCCTTGAAGCCATCAGCTGTCCTGTAGGGCTTGCTGAAGTAGCGGCTCGTTGGTGGGAGGGTGGTGTGAACATTAGAGAGGACCTGTACCTACTTTTAATCTTGTTCCCCAGAACATGCTTTGTCTGTCAGTGGGCAAGGATGAGTGATTTCTACAGACCCGTGCTCTTCCTTTCCATGTTTTTCTCCCTCCCTTTGCTTAGACTGTAACTTCTATGCAAAGGACCGAAGTCCTGCTCCATAAATGGGTTTCCAACGGTCCGACTTACACCTGCGGCATCTCAGCTCAGCATTTTCAGAGCCGAATTTGTGATTGCCTCCCTCCAGCCTGCTCAGCCCTTTGACTCCCCTCTTTCTGTGGCCACCATCATTATGATTGGCCTCCGAGAACCTTCAAGTTTAGGTCTTCTCTCATCTGATCAGTGTCAAGACCAAAGGTGCTCCTTTTGTAACGTCTATCAGGCCCTTTCTCACTCTACTCCTGATGCTACCAACAGCTATGTTCTTGATTCCTTAGTATTATTTTTTTAAACAGATTATTCCTATGTAGCCCAAGCAGGCCTTGAACTCACAATCTCCCTGCCTCTACATTCTGATTACAGGTGTCACTGCACCTTGTTTATTTCCATTCTTCTAAATCTAGGCATTAAACAATTATTATTTTTGTGTATCTGTTTTCTGATGTGTATATGTGCACCTCTGTGGGGGCCAGAGGAGGGTGCCGTTCTATCACTCTCTTCCTTATTCCTTTGAAACAGGGCCTCTCACTGAACCTAGAGCTAGGCTGGTGACCAGTAAGTCACAGCCATCCTCCTGTCTCTGCACTACAGCCCTGGGGTTACATCAGTGTATGGACACATCCAACTCTTTGAGTAGGTGCTGGGATCTGAACTCTTACCCACAGAGCCATCTCTCCAAACCCCTTATCAAGGCTTCTGAAATTTTGTGGTATTTTTGTTTGTCTTTTTGGGGTTGATCTTGAACTCTCTATGTAGCTAAAGATGACCTTGAATTACTAATCCTCCTGGTCCCACCACATAAAGGCTGGAATTATAGGTGTGTGTCACCTGACTTGGCTGAACCCAGGACTTTATGTATGCTTCTACTGTTCCTTTGAGGCAGGGTCTCTTCCTAAGCCCGGGGCCAACAATTGCTTGACTAGGCTAGAAGTCAGCAAGCTCCCAATTATCCTCCTGTCTCCGTCACCCTTAGAGCTGAAATTCTAGGAGAGCACAGGACTCTGATTTGTTGGATATAGGGCTTGGATCTGAACTCTGTTCCTCCTGATTGTGTGGTAAAGTGCTTTACTGCCGACCCATCTCTCCAGACCCCTTATCCCTTTTTAAGAGAGAGTCTTTCTATGTAGCCTAGACCAACCCTGGAGCCTGGACTAGACTCGAATTCTTGATCCTGAAGACTCCTGTGTGCTGGGATTATAGGCGTGAGCAAATATACTCAATTATTTCCTCCCCTGTCTGGTCATCTGACTTGTTCTAAGCTGGCTGCACCATCAGTGATTCTGGTTATGCAGCTCACCTGTGTTTTACCTTCGCTCCAGGGTAATGTTTCTGGAGACATGGCAGCCATGAAGGCATGAATTCTTACTTTATCTTAAAAGAGAAAATAAAAAACCAGGCATGGTGGCACATCCTTGTAATCCCAGTATTTAGGAGGCAGAGGCAGGATGAGTGCTATAAATTGGAGGCCAGCCTGGTCTATTTAGGACATCACAGGCCAACCAGGGCTACGTAGTGAGAGTTTGAGTTTTAAAAAAACAAACAAAAACGGCAACAAAACCCATATTATTTCATTTATGTTCATTAATGAGAACGTAGCCAAATGACCACAGCGAGCTGCAAGAGATAGCATCTTTATTTTGCGCAGTGAAAGATGGGAGGTGTGGAAAAGGCATTGGTCTGTAACTTGCTGTGGGATGTCTTTCTGTATGCTGTGAATATGTGTTGCTCTGATTGGTTGATAAATAAAGTGCTGATTGGTCAGTAACCAGGCAGGAAGTATAGGTGAGATAAGCAGACAAGGAGAATTCTGGGAAGAGGAAGACCAGCCAGACAAAAAGGAAGCAAGATGTCAAGGCAGAACTGAGAAAAGGTACCAAGCCATGTGGCTAAACATAGATAAGAATTATGGGTTAATTTAAGTGTAAGAACCAGTCAGTAATGAACCTGAGCTAATGGCCATATAGTTCATAATTAATATAAGCCTCTGTGTGTTTATTTGGGTCTGAGCAGCTGCAGACCAGGCAGGACACAGGAAAACTTCCAGCTACAGTAGCTCATTTGGTGGAGTTCTGGCTTAGCATGCACAGGGCCCTGGGTTCAGTCCCCAGACATGGTGATGATTGACTGTAATCCCAGAAGTTGAGAGAGGGGGAATGGGAGTGTGGAGGCAAGAGTGTTAAGGTCATCCTCAGCTACATAGGCAGTTTGAGGCCAGCCTTGTGTATGTGAGACCCTGTCAATCAATTGATCAATCAAACAAAAAGCACCGGAGAATGATAGAAGACAGATGCTCCATGTTGAAAAGCTTTCATTGACTCCCACAGAATTAACGTGTTTCTTATCCTGGCATTCCTGGCCTGGTAACATCTTACTCTCTTGCCTTGTGCCTCTGTACATGTGTTGTGGGCTCTAGGGCGTATGAATCACCACTTTTAGAAGTTTGGAAGCCCTTGTACCTCTTTGAATAACTCTATTAGAAAGTTTCTTTGGACAGTCTTCAATGACAGTGCTTAGGAAACTGGATATTAACGGAATTTTCTCAAGTACCTGCCCTGTGAAAATCCCTCCCAGAGTCCCAGGGAAGACACTATGTCCAGCGTGGGGTTATCTGAGGGAAAAGAATCTACGTACACCACATTCTTTGTCTGTTGACTTTATTCCCCTATGACAAAATTCAGCCCTGTCCTCACATTCAGCTCCTCTCTGTGCCCACTTTTCCTGTCCTCATAGTTTTAGTAAGCTCCTAAGATTTTGATCTCATCTTCGTCCTCTGTTCCTTCATCCTCCATCTATGCTTCCTAGCTCCTCACTCCTGGCCCTGATAAACTCTACAAGAGATCTGCTTTATCATCTACAGAATTTCTGCCTTTCTCTCTTCTCTGTCTCTCAGGAATCCTGTTCTACCTTTCACTCCACCTGGATATGCAAAAACCTCCTGTTGTTCCTAGTCAGCTCTGGAATGCCACTAGGCCTGAAGGCAAGGGATGGTCTCAGCTATTCTGTTCCCACTAGTCCTTCAATGTTTTGTTTGGGGCTGGCCCTAGCTAAAGGGGAAATTTGCAAAAGGCAGATACCCAATTCAAATGCTAAAAAGGAAGTAGGGAGCTCAGAGGCAGAAGGCCCTGCCTACGTGACCTTATCCAAGTACTGGCCTGAGCAGGATGCTCACACATACATGTTCTATGGGAATTATGAGCACAAGAAATTCATAACGAGGAGCAGCTGAATATTAAAGCTGAATAACATCAAATATTCCGTGATAAATGGCTTCCCACTTGAAGGAACCTTGGTTGGTCAAGGTATAGCTTATTATATACAGCTGGACTCCCTATACCATATTCTTGTGGCTCGCCACAGGATATCCATATGCAGAGAATAAAATCAGACCCTACACACAACAGAAATCTATCAAAATGGACAAAGGTTTTAAACATAAGATCTGAAATTGTAAAACTGCCAGAAGAGAGTTGTAAAAAACACTGTGGTGGGTCCTTAAAAAATTAAAAGCCATTTGATCCAGGAATCCCAGGTACAGTCAAAAGAGGTGAACTCAGCATGTTGAGTTCGCTTATTAATATTAATTGGTATTTAATATTTTACATTTTTTTCTGGGTATGGGCACTGGAGTGCTAAGGCACTTCCTGTGGATATCAAACAACAATTCATGGTTGCTTTCTCCTCCCCATGAGTATTCAGGGATGGAGCTCTGATTGTCAGTGGCAGGTGCCTTTACTCACTGAGTGATCTCACCAGCCCGACATCTGTGCTCCTGCTCACAACACCCAAGAGAGAGAAGCAAATGGATAGAGAAGGGGATCATTTCAAATGCTGGATCTAATGGAACCTAAATCTATGTGAACCTGAAGGACATTATGTAAGGTTTTGGTCCTTATTTACGTCCTTTAATTACGTCATCAGCCTTCGCCGGCTTCCCAGCCTAAAAAGCGGTTGGGCCCTCTGTGGGCTCTCTCTCTGTCCCCTCTCCTTTGCGCTCCTTCCCCCCGTCGGTCCCCCTCTCTCCCTCTCCCCCCCTTGTCTCTCTCTCTCTCTCTCTCTCTCTCTCTCTCTCTCTCTCTGTCTTTTTCTGTCTCCCCCCTCCCCAATAAAGCTCTAAAAAGGTAACCATGGCTATGAGTCTTTCAATGGGCACGCTCCTCTGCAGGCATGCTCCTCTGCAGGCATGGCCGCCGTGGGCGGTGACCAGCCACGAGGGGCAGCTCGGAGGCATAACCAACATTGGTGCTGTGACTCGGATACACCACCAAACACCGAGGACCTGCTGACTGCTGCTGCTTGCCGCCTCTTCCCCCATCCAGCGAGACCGTGAGACCGCGAGCGCGCGCGTGTCCCTCGCTGCCTCCGCTGGACCCCCACACCACCACCGCCATGATTCTTCACCACAGTAAGTCCGCCGTTCTCGCACGGTTGTAGTCTGAGCTATATTATTTGCGACGGACACCCCGGGGGTGTCCTCGAGTTGCACCAGCACCGGCACATTTTCGTTTCTGACGAGAAAGTAAATGCTGTCTTGGTCTACCGGGTGGATCAATGCGGTGCAGCTGCAGCCCTTCGCATCCCTTGACGAAGAGGATGGCGAACTTGAGCTGATTCATGGATCTCTCTCCACTCTTTGGGGACGCCCAAGATTGTAGTCTGATCCCGGTTTGTTATTTTAATTTTTATTTTTTTTCTCTCGGCTACAGCCATGTGACAAAAGGGCGGATATATTGGTGGATAGGGGCGGGCACCGGTAAACCTGGTCTCATAACAGTGTAAATCTGGCCGCAAAACAGAGTCGTGGGAACTTCTGCCAGAGAACGGGCAAATAAGAGTCACTTGATCTCCAAGCTTTCTGCTAAAGTTCTGAAACCCTGCTCCTTCCCCACTTCTGCGTCTCCACGTGCAACCTTTTCTGTCTGACTTCTGTCGGCGGTGGGCAGGCTCAAGTGGGCGGGCTTGGGCGGCTTCTAGGACTCGCCCTAACTCACCTTAACTCCACCCACTCATTCTCAAACTGCCTTGAGAAGCACAGACGGGTCTAAAAGCGGCTAAGATCCATACAAATAAGTTTACAGTAGTCAGGATGGCTCTTAAGCCAAAAAAACAGCTTATAGCCTCAGACAAGTCTTCCGGAAAGGATCGGTTTATAGTCTGCCTACTGGCAGATCTTCCAAAAGCTGTCCTTAAGCCATCAATCAGCAGGAAAAAAAAAAATTTCAGGACATAGAGTAAAATCCGTCTCTTGTTCCCCAGACCTCCCCGACTAAAACTTAAGCATCTGGAGAGCAAGGCTCCTGACCCCACAGGCAAAAGAGTCATCTGTGGCATTTAAGGTGTGCCAGGGAAGAGATAAAAGCCCGAAAACAAAATTGCCAAGTGCTGGCACTCGCTGACTCCCAAAAGCTGTTGGGTCCCTGTTTTAAGTGAGGAAAAGGCCACGGGCTAGAGAATGCCCTGCCAGGCCATCAATAGCCTTGTTAAAAGTGCCACCTAGAAAGACAGAGTCAGCTGACTGCCCCCAGGCACCAAGATGCATGGGTACATCAAGCTAAGACCTTCAGCAGACCTAGGCTTGGCTACAGACATGGCAGGGAACCCAGAACGCAGCAGGGAAGCGATCCGATTCTTTCCTTCTGGACACCAGAGCCACTGACTCAGTCCTGGGAGTTTTGGGATGCCACCTCTCCTTTATTGTCGGGTACAGAGGACAGCCTTACCACCTCACCTGATTTAATTGCACTTTCAGAGTTACTTAATAAAAAAAGATTTCCACCTAAAATAAGAGCTCATTGCTTCATTCCAGATCCACTGCCTGTGTTTCTCATGTGCATCCAGACAGGGCCCTGATCTTTGCCTTGTCCCTAATTCCAAAAAAAAAAAAAAAAAATTTCTCATGTACCACAAGCTTTTCTCTTCCCAGTTTCCTGTTCTAACTCACTGTTCAGCTAATGGTACAGGACCACCACAGAACCGGAGACCAGAGATCATCAAATAAGAAACTGTAACAGCTAAAAGGCATTTACACCCTCAGACCCAAAAGCGTCTGGGCGCTACAAAAAGACTTTAATGTAAACATCTATTAGTATGAGATGCTTTTAACAATTGATCACCTGTCTCCTAGATGCTGAACCAGTAAAGGAAACAGGTACTTTAAAATAATCTGTCTCTGATAAAGCTTAACATGTTTCAAAATCCATAGGGACAGGCCGGATCTACCTCACATAAATGTCAACATAAAATAATAATGATTCTTTTCTCTCTCTAAGTTTTTTCTGTGTCACCAGCATCTTGTCAAACAGAAAGTTCCCAGCCACAGCCAAGAGGGATACATGTCTCCAGAGCAAAAGGATGACAGACAGCATCCCACAACGCCTGTCTACCTCGGAAGACTCCCCTTCTCCATTCCCCCAAGAGCCAACCAACGTCCAAAAGTCAGCTGGAAGCAGTTTTTGAGAGGAACGACGCCCCTAGTCCCATCTACCTGCTTTTTTTTTATAATAAGGGAAAGTCTGGGATGTAAGGTTTTGGTCCTTATTTACGTCCTTTAATTACGTCATCAGCCTTCGCCGGCTTCCCAGCCTAAAAAGCGGTTGGGCCCTCTGTGGGCTCTCTCTGTCCCCTCTCCTTTGCGCTCCTTCCCCCCGTCGGTCCCCCTCTCTCCCTTCCCCCCCTTGTCTCTCTCTCTCTCTCTCTCTCTCTCTCTCTCTCTCTCTCGCTCTCTCTCTGTCTTTCTCTGTCTCTCCCTCCCCCAATAAAGCTCTAAAAAGGTAACCGTGGCTATGAGTCTTTCAATGGGCACGCTCCTCCGCAGGCACGCTCCTCTGCAGGCATGGCCGCCGCGGGCGGTGACCAGTCACGAGGGGCAGCTCGGCGGCATAACCAACACATTATGCAAAGTGAAATAAGAAAAACAGACAAATATTGTGTGATTTCACTTGTATATGGAATTTTGTTTTTGTTGTTTTTTTTTTAAGCATGATTCAGAGGCTGAGAATTTGGCCAGAATGGAGCAAAAGGCAGCCTGAAGCAAAAACAGAAAACTTGCCCCTAGTTTTAGGAAACAGCTAAAGTATGCTAGCTGATGCCTTCTCCTTGGAGAAGGCTAGTAAAGCATTGGAGAAAATGAGCTAACCAAGGGGAATGTAATTAGTCTGGTGTCTAGGATCTGTGGGGCAAATGTTTGAATGTGGAGATTTCATTCAATGATACAACTTGATGTTTATGGAGTTACTGAAAGCCAATGATTCTACAAGGTCCATGGAGTTGGGGTTGGGAGAGGGGAGTAAAAGCTGAGATGGTGGATCATACCTGAAATCCCAGCATTCAGGAGTTGGAGGCAGAAGGATCATTGAATATTCAACATCAGCCTGGACTAGATACTAAATTCAAGGCCAGCTGGACTTACACAGTAAGTCCTGATCTGCAGAATGAGACCTTGTCTCAAAACAACCATGAACCAAGCCAAAACCAACCCCGATAGAACCCACTCCCTCCATCTATAAAAGGAGCTAAGAATCACTTGTCTGGAGCCGGGCATAGTGGCTCAGATCTGTGAGCCCAGGTCTTGGGAGCTATGACAAAGAACGGAGGGTCTGAGGGCAGCCCGAATGTAGAGAATTCCAGGCTTGCCTGGCCTACGGAAGAAGACCTGGCCTCAATCTCCCACCTTTGGGGGTGGGGTGGGGTGGGGTGCAGTGGTGGTGATGGTGGTGGAGTGCTTGAATGGTTGGTTAACATGCATATTCTGAGGCTAGAACAGAGCTCAGGACCCTAAATCTCAACAGATGAGCCTTGCCCCCTCCTCACTCCATTATTTAAATAAGGAGTATTTTATAAGGGCTCTGAGTTAACAGATTAGAATTAATGCAAAGCCCCAAATAAGATTTAGGGCTAGCTGCTCCAAGCCTGTTAATCAGATCCTTCTTTCTAAGTGCAAGGCTGCAAGGTGAGAGGCTTGGGCAGATAGGGCAGAAAGAAGTGAATTTCTATTAGAGTGAATCATAGGTCTTATTAGAATTTGGCACAATAATTCACGGAAGTAGATTGAGGCCTGTTGGGAGAGGCACACACGAATACCTTTAACCAGCTACAAGGAGAACCCAGTGGTCCCCAACTTGACTGCAGCAGAATGAATTTGAAAAGGACAGATTGCAAACGCTACCCATGAGGAAAGCCAGCCAGGGTGCTCGCTACACACCTGTCTGTATTCCCAGCACTTGGGAGGCGGAGGCAGGAGAATTAGGAGTTCAAGGCTAGCCTTAGCTACACTGCAAGCCTGAGGCCAACCTAGGATATATGAGATCCTGTTTTAAAAAAACAAAACAAAACACAAATGTTATTAATATTTGTATAATCCTGGGGTAGGACCCGACCATCTATAGATAATTTTTCTTCTTTTTCTTTCCTTCAGGCTGGAGAGATGACTCATCAGTTAAGAGCATTGGCTGATTACCTTGTCCTGCTTGGCTGAGACTTGACCTGACTAGGGACATGGAAGGGATGAAAGAACAAACAAGAAAAGCTGGGATCAGGCGGCTGTGCACACTGGGGAGGAACTGGGATCAGGTGGCTGTGCACACTGGGGTGGAGCTGGGATCAGGTGGCTGTGCACACTGGGACAGCTGGGATCAGGTGGCTGTGCACACTGGGACAGCTGGGATCAGGTGGCTGTGCACACTGGGGTGGAGCTGGGATCAGGTGGCTGTGCACACTGGGACAGCTGGGATCAGGCGGCTGTGCACACTGGGGTGGAGCTGGGATCAGGCGGCTGTGCACACTGGGGTGGAGCTGGGATCAGGTGGCTGTGCACACTGGGACAGGGCTGGGATCAGGTGGCTGTGCACACTGGGGTGGACCTGGGATCAGGCGGCTGTGCACACTGGGGTGGAGCTGCACTGACTATGGGAACCTAGGACCCCAGTGTGTTTACTGTTTGTAGCACAGAGGGAAGAGTTAGCTAGTCTAGGCAGGAGGTCTTGGTAGGCAGCAGTCTTCAGGCTGTAAATGTCAGGGAGGAGGAAGCTACAGTTACTCATTTTTTCACACTGGTCAGTTGTTCATAAACAACCGTACTTGTACACATTGTCAATGTGCTGCACAGACATTCATATACACAGAACATTCATAAACATAAAATCAATAAGTAAATTTAAATTTTTTATTTTTGAGAATTTCATACATGTCTACTATGAAACATGATTGTATGTACTCCTTCCCAACACATCCCACAATGAACTTCATGTCTTTTATTTTAATACTCATTAAATCCAGATAACGCTGCCTATAAATGCATGGCTGTGAGGGCATCCGATGGAGCATGGGAATCCTGTCATTGGCCTCACTCGTACAAAGAATGATTCTCTTTCCCCAGAACCTATCAACGCCAATAGTTGCTCCGTAAGGGTGGGTCCCAGAGACCGTCTATCCCGTTTATGCTGGGATTTGGGCTAGCTTGATCTTGTGTTACCAGTTATGAATACACAGCACTGCAATTACTTGCATTTATATGCTTATATTCTCTCAGTTAATAAAGGAAAGAGATACAGTAACCAAATGCAGAGAAATCTAGATCGAAAGAGAACTAAAGCATAATCAGGACACAATTGGGAAACGTTTTATGAACTAGATGTGGAATTCAAGGTGAGGTTTTTGTGTGGCATCAGTGCTCTGGGTAGCGGAACAGGGGTCTTGCTCATGAGAGGGTAGAGGAGTCTTTGGGGGTGAAGTTCACGGCATCTGCACACCAGTCCCGATGTTTAGTGGGAGGTGGCAGGTGTAGAGTGGTGACTTGGAGAGGCGAGGTGTGAAAATTCCTGAAACGAGCTGACAAGTGTGTTGGCGGCCACTGCTTTATTCGGGAAACTCATCTGTAGGTTAAAAATTTTCAGACTTGTAAAATGGTTGTTTGTAAGAATAAACAAATGATGCGGCATAGGTTCAGGCTTGATCCTGTGGTGGTACAGCAATGGGTGGCCTTAGCAGAGAGACACAAATGACCATCCTAGAGAGGTCACTGTTGGCCTCTGACTGTGCTTCTCCACCTACCTTCTGGTAGGCTAGGCATGGAAACGGAGGCTGTACACAGTCCTCACGGCCACAGGTGGGTGCCGACAGGCTAATTCTTGGCTACCAACCCAGAACATAGCAGATGTTCCCTCCACTTAATAAAGAACATTGGCCTAAAAATAAGTGACGTTATCATGGGGGTAACTGAATCCACTGAATTTATTTTTAAAATAAGAATGTCCTAAATTTTGTGTGCAATGGGTTTGAAGATTCAAGAACTAATTTTGATGTCCCAATGAAATACAGATTCTTTATTGTCTGTAACATATAGGCAGCCATGGTCCTGGGTCACTGTACAGAGCTAAAATACATCTTTAATGCATGAGTGACTATGATGGAAATCCTTCCTGGTTCAAATAGTGTGTGATTCAGAGACTTTTGGTAATTTCAGACTCTGTGAAAAAAATGATTCAATGATGGTCTGATATGGGAAGTTGTTAATAGTTATCTAAGTCCAGTTCTGAATCTAGTCCCAGCCATGGGGTTTTCTCTACCACTGAGTAGGGCTCACCTGAGGGAGGTGGAGGTCTCCAAATGGTTATCCATGGCCTATCATTTGCCTTTGCCATTGCATCAGACCAGGCTTGGGCTCACCTCCTCACACAGAGCACACGCGAGTCCCCCAGTCATTTAGTGTGGGTCCTCCTAGGCCAGATGTCCATCAGTCCACCTCCAGATGTGGGGCAAGCACGGCTGTCTAACCCCACCCCCACCCCCTGTGGCTGTGGAACATTTGCGGTGATGCCTATCTGGCAGGAGCGGGGTACGATGAGCAGGCTTTTGAAGGTTCCTTCTGCTCTGGTTCTGCCCTTGATTTCCACTCCCCTGTCTGCTGTGATGTGAACAGCCTCCACCACTCTCTCCTGCCTCCAGGAACTGATCTGAGCTACTTCACCATGCCTGCCCAAAGTGATGGTGTGAAGACTTCTGAACCGGTTAGTCAAGGTTAATCTTCCCCAGGGCTGCAGAGGTGGCTCCGCAGTTAAGAGCGCTTGCTGCTCTTTCAGAGGACCAGAGTTTGGTTCCCGGGACCCACATTGGGCAGCTCACATCTGCCTGCAACTCCAGCTCTATGGGATCTGGCGCCCTCTTCAGGCCTCTGGGGGCACCTGCACACATGTGTACGCACACACACATGCACACACACACACAATTTTTTAAAAATCTTTTAAAAAATGAGTAACTCTTCTTCCTTAATCTGTTTCCATCAGGTATTTTGGTTACAGCCACAGAACACGTATAAAAATTTACTGAGAGAAATACCTCTGTGACAGAAAATGAAGAGGTTGCTATAAGAAAGCAGAGCTGTCAAAAGGCAGGACAAGTCTGGCTGTAACCAGTGAAGGGAATCAGGAAGAAAAACTGAAGAAACACATCCCAGACCGTCATGCCGTAAGGGAGGGACAGCTGTTGGGAAGCCTCAGTCAGTGTCAAAAGCCAGCGTCAAAGAAGCCGTAGGAACAGGGGAATCTTAGCACCTTCCCACCCAGCTATCGGTTGAGAGAAACTTGTGGGAAGCATGGCCTTGGCACACACATGGCCATGGATCTCAGCGACATTAGTTGGTCAATTTAACTGGCTTTCCCATGGGTGCTATAGTTGGACAGAATTTCTGTGGTAAGGTTTCACTGACATGGTATCATGTCCTGAGGACATAAACAAATGTCTACTCACCCCAGATAGTGAGCTAACAACCGACTAAAGTGTGAATACAATCAACATCCAACTTAGGCAACCAGTGCGTTTTATTGGGGTTACTTATAGGGACAGAAATGACTCAAAACAGCTGCATCACCCAAATTGACCCCCACCCCAGCATGGATGAAACCTCACAAAAGCTGGAGACCTGAAGCTTCCTGCACAGCCTGTAGATAGCTCAACAGGCTGGAGAGTGTCCTTTCCTGGTGGCTCAGTCATTCCGAGCCTCTTTGTCTCTCCGCAGTCCTTACTGCTTATATATGGTTGGGGAGGGAGGAGCCTAGTGAATATGGTCAGTTTCAGGGACTTCCTGAAGTCATTCAATTATTTACTTCTTGAACTTAATGAGCTTCCCTGAAGGATGGAATGCTTCACCTCCCCTTTAACATTCTGTGTCTTAAACTTCCCTCCAACAAGGAGGGTTTTAGTCTCAGGGGTCACTGCTGTTCAACATATGGGCACGTGTCTACTCACTGTACACCAACCACCCTCATATGGGCAGTTCTGCCTCCTAGGGGCATTTCGGAAATGTCTGTGGTTAGAGACATATGGAGAGGATGTTAGAGATCTTCTAAGAACTTTGGATTTCACTACGACTGACATAGAGAGCTATCTGAGAATTTGGAGTCTTCTTGACTGATCTTAAAGAACTAGGCTGTAAGGGACACAAGAGTAGAAACAAGGAGATCTGCCGGGAAGTGTTGTGATTATCAAAGGGAGAGGAGCCTGGGGTCAGGGAGATAGGAGATGGTGATGCACCACTCACCTCTGAATGTAGTTGTAAGATAGAGCCACCAGGACTTGGAAAAGATTGGTTATAGGGTGTGAGAGGAAGTCTAGAGATAAGGATGACTGATTGGAGCGTGGGCCCTTAGAGAGACGGAACTGATATTCTGCGGATACAGGGAGGTTGAATGTGGCAGGGATTTTTGGAAGGTGGGAGGGGAGAATAGAAATTGAGCTATGAACTTATTAGTTCTGAAATGCCTATCTAGTCATCTCGCTGGGGATGATGAGCTAGCATTTGAAGTCTTTGTAGAGGAAGAGGTCTTCCCTGGGGTCTCACTTAACTATTTCTCATAGGAGGGTTTGCTCTGTGTTGGTTCCCCTCTGTGATGCAGACTAAGAGGGGCTTTATTACCTGAACCACGGCAAGAGGAAGAGGTGCAGTCACACCCTGGTAATGAAATACAGGTCTTAGCCAAAGTCAGACACGTGGTCACAGTGAATTTTAAGAGGACGAGGAAGGGCTATTCTGTTAGGTGTTTGGGAAAGAAGGACCAGAAATGTGGGTAAATAACACTAGCATCTACTGGATATGGAGATATGTGATGGGGAATCACCACCACACAGGAATTAATGTCGTAGAATGCTTTTTTAATCAATTAATTTTTTTTTCCAGACAGGGTTTCTCTGTGTAGTTTTGGTGCCTGTCCTGGAGCTCACTCTGCAGACCAGGCTGGCCTCAAACTCACAGAGATCTGCCTGTCTCTGCCTCCCGAGTGCTGGGATTAAAAGCATGTGCCACTGCCGCCCGCCCAGCTGCAGAATATTATTTTAAGATGTGTTATATTTGTTTATGCTCTGGAACATTTGTTGAATGATGTAAAGATGTGTTGCATTCTTTTATGTTACATTTGTTTAACTCTGGGAAGCTGTGTTACTTTGCCTGTTTAAAACACCTGATGGTCTAATAAATGGCTAATAGCAAGGCAGGAGAATGGATAGGCAGGGCTGGCAGGCAGAGAGAATAAATAGAAGGAGAAATCTGGGAGGAAAAAAAGCAAGAGAACAGGAGAGGAGGATGCTAGGGGCCAACCACCCAGCAACCCAGCCAGCCACAGAGTAAGAGTGAAAACAAGATATACGGAAGTAAGAAAAGCCCAGAGGCAAAAGGTAGATGGGATAATTTAAAGTTAAGAAAAGCTGGCTAGAAACAAGTCAAGCTAAAGGCCGGGCATTTATAATTAAGAATACGCCTTGCCGGGCGTTGGTGGCGCATGCCTTTAATCCCAGCACTCGGGAGGCAGAGGCAGGCGGATCTCTGTGAGTTCGAGGCCAGCCTGGACTACAGAGTGAGTTCCAGGAAAGGCGCAAAGCTACACAGAGAAACCCTGTCTCGAAAAACCAAAAAAAAAAAAAAAAAAAGAATACGCCTCTGTGTGTGATTTATTTGAGAGCTGGGTGGAGGGCCCCCCAAAAGAACAAAGAGCCAAAAGAGTAAGAGTAAAAATCAACAACTACATGTAAAGTCATGGGACTGGTGGGGATGAACAGGAAGTACAGAGACAATAGAAAGTTCGAGGACAGAGCCTTAGGGAACTTCACTATCTAGAGTCCATCAATTCAGTTGACATGACAAGCTTAAAGTAATCATTCTGTTCCCTTTGGTTACACAAATAATCTTAACTCTAGGATGAAGCAATAAACCCAAAACATTGATAAGCTATGTAAGTAACATTTTAATCTTTGTGTTACTCATATGAATCTCTCTCTCTCTCTCTCTCTCTCTCTCTCTCTCTCTCTCTCTCTCTCTCTCTCATGTGGTATATACGTACATGTGTATGCATAGGTACGTGCTTCTGTGTGTATGTGCAGAAGCCAGAGAAGGGATATTGGGTATCCTCTATTACTTTCTACTTTATTACTTGAGGCAGGATCTCTCTTTGAACCCAGAGCTCATGTTTTTTGGCTAAGTAAGTTGGCAAGCCTATGGGCCCTTCTGTCTTTGCTCCCCACAAGTACTGGGGATACAGGTTTGTGAAGGACTATTACCCCTTCGTTATGTGGGTGCTGAGATCTGAACTCTGGTCCGAATAGTTGGAGCAAATGCTCTTAGCCGCTGAGCCGTTTCTCCAGCCCCCAGCTATTGTGTTTTTAATGAGGCTTTAAATTATTAAGATAACCTGGTTTACTTATAAAATTTGTAAATCAGTTTTCCTACATTCATGAGGTTTTGCTCACTAGATTTATAAGTCTGCTTTTGATGTTTGAAGTTCTTTCAGATAATTTAGTTATGTTACATTTGTGCCTGTGGTTTAAAATCTCTAAAGGAATTTAATCAAGTTTGTAAATGTGTTGACTATTTTAGGGGCAAAAATCTATCAAATATCCAAGCTTATTGAATATAAACTAAAAATAAAGTGGAAATATGCTTTATTTTAGCACAAGACATTACTAGGTCTATAAATAAATAAAGGCTTTTACAAAGACTAATAGTATCAAGTGTTCTTTGCCATGGAGAGTACTCCATGGATCCTGGAAGTTCACCCAGTACCGCTCTCCCCACCATGACGGCCTCAGAAGAGCGACTAGCCAATCTATGGGGAGCAGGGCCCCATGGGCTACTCTGCCTCTGGGACTGGCTGAGTTGCTGTTCGACATCTCTTTGTTGTTAGTCACTGTTCTGATGGGTCCTGATGGGTGGAGGTCTTTTTCTGATGGACTGAGACTGACCTAATTAAGCATTTTGGATATTATTGGCTATTTGGGATCATGGTCATATCCTATGCTGAGTTCTCTAGCTTCAAATCACCATTCATTTGGAGTGATTATTATCCTTGTCAGCGAGGCCTCCTTTTGACAGTGCTCTTCTAACAGCCGTGGGGCTGTTCATGTTCAAGAACTTTTGAGTTTCCCGTACTTCTGGGTCATAAGTGAGTCAACAATGAGTCCTTTTGCTGGGACCATCCAGCCTCCAGTTCTTAGCACTTGGCAAAGCTGTTGGGAGCATTGTTGACACTACTTTATGACATGGAGTGATTGGGCAGTGTAGTAGAATTGTACAATGGCTTCCTGTCCCACCCCCTGTGTAGATAGTGTGGGGACCATAGCTGCTTGTGTACCTAGAGGGTGTGGTAGTTTATTGACCAGTGGAGCTGTGGTGTGGCTGGTTTTTGAATGGGGCAGCAGTGTGGAGTGACAATTTGTTGAATGGGGCAGCAATCTGGAGTGACGATTTGTTGAATGGGGCACAGTGTGGAGTGATGATTTGTTGAATGGGGCACAGTCTGGAGTGAGGAGGGAGATGTGTTTGTGCCCTTTGCGCCACACCTGTGCTCTGTGATCTTCAGTTAATTTAATCATTGGGTGCCTTGTTTATCTACAAAATATGGCTAACAACTCCATTGTATTGTTGAGGATCAAACGAGGCAGGCACATAAACTAATTACCACGCTTTTTTTCTTATAAATTAAGGTCCGGCTGGGTAGTTACATAGTCCAAGATAGCCTCAGACAATGCTCCTTTAATATGGTAAAATGCTTAATAAGTATTAAATAATTCTATGCTCTTATTATTATTTTCTGTCATCTATTTGAGTTACTTCAAATTGGCTAGTATAAGGGTGGGGAGACCCTTATCCTGATTCTTCTATTCAAAGAAAAATAATTTGAATTCTGGTTCATAATTCATTTGAATAATGCAAGGAAGAATCCACGCAAGCCTTACCGTGTAATGAGGAACTTTTTAGATCTAATTCCTTGTTTTCTTTTCTAATTCCTTGTGTTTTAGCTGAGTCTTTCTGAACTCTCACTGCCTTGGTGAACACTGGGGATGAGTCACCAGGCACAGGCAGGCACTTGCAAGAGACAGGAGCTCAAAACTCCAAGTTTTACCATGGAAGGTCATTGCTGTTCATCAGGAAGAGGTCTGGGTGTTTAGCCCTGTTGGCAGCTGACCTTGGTCCTTGGCAAGCATCTCCTGTGAGTTTGGCATGTGGTGGATGTAGGCAGGTTCTCTTGATTCCACTCTACCCCACATCCTCCTCCCACGCCCACAGCCAGCAGGAAGGTCACAGGTCTCTCTTTTAAATCACTTGCATGTTTAGACTTCCCAAGTCATGCTGACTAAGATACTGTTGTGAGCTAAAACCAAATCTTTGTCTTTATTCGTGCATGTATATATCCATGTCTACAAGATAATGATGGATGGTGCATTGGTTGGGCCTCAAACCCAGGGCCACACCCAGCCCCCAGATCCTTACCTGAACATGAAAAAGCACAGGAAAGTCATTTGGCCATGTGTAAAGAGCAATGCATCTGCAGGGGAGGCCAAGTCTGCATCAGTAGTGTGGAGTCATGATGAAAATGTGTATCCTCAGCCTAATAAGCTAAGAACGACCTTTAGTCCCACAGTTTCCTCTTTAAATCTATGACTCCTGTCTCAGCATGAGTCAAACAGCAGGCATATCCCAACGGAGGGGGTACAAACTGCAAAATCAGTGCTCAAAGACATCGAAAGCATGGGAAATCTGAGAAATCATCACAGCCAAGGGAGGCCTAAGGAGATAGAGTGAACAAATATAGAGTGGGATCCCAAAATGGACCCTGGAGCCAGAAGGAACACTGAGTATAATTGAAGGATATGCAAATAGAGTATGTATAGTTACTGCTGGCTCATTAACTAAAAAGGAGATCAAACCCACATGAGATGCTGATGACAGGGAAAGTGAGTGTGGGAGTATGGGAATTCTTTGTAGTTTTGGCAAATTTTAAATGAATCCAAGAGCATCCTAAAATTGAAATTCTTGTTTTTAAAACTCCAGGAGAAATTGACAGTGAAGCACCTTGGTCTGTTGACTGTGGTTGTCACTGGGAAGAGGAAGGAGGTGAGGGTTGAGAGCTGGCCTATTGAGCCCCTAATGGGTGTGGGACAGTGTTGTAGAATATTATTTTAAGGTGTGTTACTTTTGTTTATGTTGCATTTGTTTAACTCTGTGAAGCTGTGTTACTTTGCCTGTCTAACACACCTGATTGGTCTAATAAAGAGCTGAATGGCCAATAGCAAGGCAGGAGAAAGGATGGGTAGGGCTGGCAGGCAGAGAGAATAAATAGAAGGAGAAATCTGGGAGGAGAAAAAAGGTCAAGGAATGAGAGAGGAAGGAGGAGGACTCCAGGGGCCAGTCACCCAGCTACCCAGCCAGCCATGGAGTAAGAGTGAAAGTAAGATATACAGAAGTGAAAAAAGGTATAAACCCAGAGGCAAAAGGTAGATGGGATAATTTAAGAAAAGCTGACAAGAAACAAGCCAAGCTAAGGCCAGGCATTTATAATTAAGGATAAGCCTGTGTGTGTGATTTATTTGGGAGCTGGGTGGTGGGCCCCCAAAAGAGCTAAAGACCCAAAGGATCAAAAACAGCCAACAGGACAGAGCAGAGAGACAGGGGTAGAAAAGATAGGTAGGCTCTGTCCTGCAGGGAGGATTGGACATGCTTCTACTGTATCTGGCTTTCTTTCAACACACATGACCTACTTTCATAAACTGACTTTTATGAATTAAAAACAACATACAAGATCTGGATGTAGTAATGGACCCCTGTAATCCCGGCACTTGCAATTCGGAGGCAAGAGGATCTGAAGTTCAAGGCCACCCTGGGTCATGTGAGACCCTGTCTTTAAACAAAGCAAACTGAAACTAACCCAAAAAGTAAGTTCGAGGTTGTTGTTGTTGGGTTTTTTTTAGAGTAAATATTTTAAATTTTATAGTAAACACTATGTATATCAGTTTTGAATCTATTGCTTCCTGCTTAGACTGCTAATTTTCACTTCAAAATTCCCAGGAAATAAATAGAAACACACTACACACTTACTGGATAACTCTTCCCACAATATGACTCAGGCTGGCTTCAAACTCATGATCCTCTTGCCTAAGCCTCTGAATGTGGTACCCTAAGCTAGCTAGGCCATTACACCTGGTTTCACAATATTTAGTTTAGTTTCATTTCGTTTTGTTTTAAACAACATATGATCTGACCTAGAAGGGCTTCTTGGAAAGGGGTGTGTGTGTGTGTGTGTGTGTGTGTGTGTGTGTGTGTGTGTGTGTAACAAATTGCTTTACCACCGAACTTTCCCCAGCCTGGAAAAGATTTTTCCCTCAGTACAGACCCAGACTTCTTCCACAGTCACAGCCTTTACTCTTTGTATCAGTGTTGGTCCACATCCTGAGGGGGGTTAGTCCTCTTTGCCTGCATTCACTTCTAAATGA